TGGGGGGGGGGGGGGTACACCCATATTTTTGCATGCCTTGGCGGTTGGGCCATGGACACATGGGTGGGGGATGTGGGTGGTATACTCACGCATTGCACGCGTTTCCTGTCAGACCACGCGTCCTCGAGAGGACGGGGAAGGGGGGGATACGCTTTGAATGCCGTCGTTAGACCATTGGCCTCGCATCCCTACAAAGCCGGGACGTAGCTTTCACAGGACCAGGCTACAGTAGCACATCACCAAGCGCGAAGCGCCATTAGTTTTTCGGCGAGTCGCATGGAGGGTGCGCCTCATCCTGCTAAAGGGTTGTTGCTGTTGTTGCTACTGTCATACGCACATCAAACCGTTCGAGCCTTACGAAATACCACTTTTGTGGACGTGCTTCCAGTTGCAAATAGTCGTACTCGTACGCAAGGAGGTCGGCCCACAGACACCATTTTCAAAGCACCAGGATATGTTTTCCCACATTGTACTTTCAAATTCGTCCCCCCCCGGTGTAGTCTGTGACCCCCCCATGCGGCCACAAACTTGTAATTGTTTCCCACGGAGAAAGTGGGAAAAAAGCTTCTTGGTTATCCCGCAGTTTCTTCGGTTTCGACGAATACCCCCTCGAGTGAGGTTATTTCCCCACCAATTGCTGGTGTACACGATGTAGCCGCCCGCTGCCAAGCAAAAATGGTAGATGGTAAGGCCTACCCTTGCTCTTTTTTCTCTAATCTTGGGTCGGCATCACCGGGTGCTCCCCCCCCCCCCTTGTTTTATCCCCGGCGGGGGGGCATTACTGGGTATCCTTGGGTTCTCTCGGCACCCTCACTGCTCGTCCTGGTGCACGAAACCGGCTATCATTTTCGTGCCGTGAGAGGCAGCTTCCATGCAGTGGTTTTTCGTCTGGGCGTTTGGGGCCGCTCGAGCGAGCTAGTGTCGCAGCGAGATCACAACGCGCGAATGATCTCGCTCCATGGACATCTTACCCTTGAAGGGCTTCGCGCGAACTAAATTGACCGAGCGGTGATTTTTTTTTTTTTTTTCGTCCCATCTCTGGCGCCGCCTGCGTACTCCTTACTCCTCTTCGGTGCACACTACACGTTTGCCGCGTATGTGCACTTACACTTCTCTTGTGTATCCACAATTACATCCATCACAGCCAAAGAACAACTTGAGAAACGTGTTGAAGAACAACTTGAGAAACGTGTTGGGGAAGCGGTTGTCTTGTCTCATCGAAGAAGCCTGGCGTCATTTTTCTTTCGCGCTGGTGATGGTCGCAACAGGCTCAAGGAGCTTGGGGGGGTAGCAGGAGGGATGAAGTTCGTGTGGCGAGGGATTCTGTTCAAGCTCGCGGATGGGTCGAAGGGGCCCTACCTCGGAAACGACGAAGCTGCCGCAAAAGGTACGGGATGGTTGAACGGGACGGTTTTATGGGATGGTTGTACGGGGACATTTTAGGCGACAAGATTGTACGGGACGAGATTCACGGAGTTCTGGCCCTGTCCCTCTTGCCTCAGCGCTTCACCTAACAGCGGCTGGAGCTGACCGGCTGAATGTTGCTGCCTTTCGCTAGTGCAGCTGCTGCTGCTGCTGCTGCTGCTGCTGCTGCTGCTCCCTTGTTTCTAGTGGTGCTGCTGCTGATGCTGGTGCCGCTGAGCACAACTCTAGCGGACGCGCATTGAATACCTAACAGCACCGATTCCCAAAATCCGTACCACTTTCTGTTGGTAGGAGCCGGGCACGACTTGAGAGGCGCGACACATTACCTGGCCACGCGCATTCGCGGGCTGCGGTACGCGCTCCAGTGCCTCATCGACTACAAGGGCTTCCGAATGACGGCACAGGTGAAACTGTCAAGCATATTTACTTCCAACATGATCTATCTCTGCCTGGGCGTGAAGTTTCTTTTCCACCGCCTGCTCTGGTGTGTGTTGTACCGTGCCATTTTGTGGAATTACCATGGTTTTGGATTTTATTCGTTTGGTTGAACCACTGCGGGACGTATTGGTTGAGTTAGGTATTAGGGTGGGGAGGGGTCAATCGGAACCTGCACGGGGGAACCTCATGTAGGGATCGGAACACAGTTGCTTCAACCTTTTTTCCTTCGTAGGTCCAGGCGTCCAGAGTAGACGGGGCGAAAGTACTTGACATCCTGGTATTTGTTGTTGCTGTTGTTGTTGTCCAGGCGGGCTTCGGGTGAGCTCGGAATCCCTCCGTTTATGACGTTGTTGTTGCTGTTGTTGCTGTTGTTGTTGTTTTTGCTGCTGCTGCTGCTGCTGCTGTCAGGGCGTGCTTCCCGTGACTCGAAATCCCTCTGTTGTTGTTTTTGTTGTTGCTGCTGCTGCTGCTGTCAGGCCGTGCTTCCGGTGAACAAGGAATCCCTTCGCTACGGGTCCTCCAACGGAGGCAAGACTGTCCACAACGAGGATGAAAGCCTGGCCAAGAAGCTCAAGGCCGCGGCAAAGAAGCTCAACCTTCGCACGCACAGGGTCAATGATAAGGTTAGCGGCCCAACCGGTAGCTGATGATTATTGTGATGATGGCGATGATGACGATGATGACGGATGTGGCAGTACCCACACGGTAGTATTGCGCCGCATGGTCCGTGCGTGAGCTGATGGTGACGATGTTGATGGCAGATATGGCCCTGATTAAGATCATTATGGTTGTGGATGTGCAGGACATGTACTCGGCGTGCGACATCGAAGGACACGTCGGTGAAGGCGATAGCCACTACCTGCTCGACTTCGCCCGGACCTTCCCACCGGAGAGCCCGAAAAAGGTGTGTTGTCGATGGGGCTGTTTTCTCCTAAGGTGTTGTTGTCATCGTTGGGTAGTTGTACCTGTTTTTTTTTCATTGTCGTTTTGCTTCAACGTTGACGTCGTTGTTTTTAAAATTCATTGCTAATCTATCTTAGACTCTTTTCTTAGAGATGGATTCGTTGGATCATACGTACTAAGAACACACAAAACGCTGTGGCTATTTTGTTGGTGTTGTTGCTGCTACATATTTTGCGGCCGTTTTCGACATAGTCTTGGTTGTTGTTGATGATGATATTGTTACCATCACCGCCGTGGCAACCAGAAGGGGAACAGTTAAGCACGGCATGAGTTGCCTTCCTTACACCTCCACTTCGGTTACACACCGGTATGTCACATCACGGATCGAAACTCCTCGACGGCCAAACTGATCTGTGGAAAATGTAATATGCAGATCCCCCCCTCCCCCCCCGGTGTTTGCCATCGGGGTGGGGTTTTCGTCGCTTGGCAACGACGTTGTAAAACAAGCCGCCCCCCCCCGGTGTTTTGCCATCGGGATTGGGTTTTCGTCGCTTGGCAACGACGTTGTAAAACAAGCCAATTCACTTCGTGAACTCGGCAACCAGGTTGCCGGTTTTTTTTTTACCTCTGTTTTTGTTTTACGGTAACCATGAATGGTGGTCGAGTAGATTATGTTGTGCAGGGTCGAGAACCCTCACTCCGCGCAAGGGGGATAATCGCACCACGTTGTGTTACATGGTCAAGCATCCTCGAGGCAGTTACACAGTGCTTCTTATAACTGTCTCTGGAAGTGATGGCACCAGAAAATAAATTTAAGTCATACGCAGCTGTCATTCGTACGCAAGGAAATAAGCACAAGATGCCGAACACCCTTAGCAGGATGCAGCTCACCCTTCATGCGACTCGCCGAATAACTCACGGCGCTTCGCGCTTGGTGATGTGAGAGCCTGGTCCGGTGAGAACCCGGCATGCTCCGTCCCGGCTTTGTAGGGATGCGAGGTCAATGGTCTAACGACTACGGCATGCACGGTTTATGAGTACACTCCCCCCCCTCGTGGGCGGCTGAGTCCCCCCGTGATTCGCCCCAAGCTTTGTAGGAATGCGATTGTCATCAGCGTGACCATTGGGAATGGTGAAGGGGGCTATGCATAGCTACCGACGGATGCCCGCTGCAGTGCTGCGTGCCAGCAATAGCGCCGGTGAAAAAGCGTGACGCGACAAAGGCATCGAAGCCTGTTTCTTCCCCTGAAATATGAGGAAATGCCCCCCTAGTACTTGGTGACTTATTGCGTTTGAAATCGCCTGGTATATGGCAACACTCCTGCGAAACGCCCCTCCAGCTCCCCCCCCCCCCCAATTTA